TTATAAATGTATTTTAAGTAAAAAAGACCCTTGTTTTTTTAACTTAGAATTATAAGGCTAATTATAAGGCTTATAAGAGATATTTTTATATAGTTAAAAAGAGCTAAATTAGCTTATTAAAATGCTCTACTTTTATTATTATAAGTTATTATGTTAAAAAGTTATAAGCAATTAAAAATTCGCCCCACTTTACTTACTTTTTATTTTAAGATATAAAGAGCTAGGTAGGGTATATAATAAAAGGCGAATAAAAGAGTGTATTTAAGCTTAATCTTTAAAACGATTTAAACGAGAACTTTACCTCTATATATAACTAGAATATTAGAAATACTAGATATCTAGTTTTTCGTATATTTAGCTTTATTTAATTAGTTTTATAAGGTTATTTTAATTGTATTTTAGTTGTATAATACCTTATAACTTCTTATAATATAAAAGATAATACTCTATGATTCCCTATAATACGAGCTATAATATTACCTATAATACTAGCTATAAATTATAATACGAGATATTAGAGCTTATAACCTAGAAAGTTAGATCCTATAACCCCTTAAAATTTAAGGGTTTTTAGTGCTAGGCTTATTAGAAGCCTGCTATATAGCCCAGCTAGTTGATAGCTGACCTTATTATCTAGATTCCGGTTAACAATAAAATATAAATAATAGGTGAAGAGAAATAATTAGAAGATAAAACTTCTTAAAAATTAAAATTAAGAAGTTTATTTCTTTAATATTATTATTATAACTAATAAATATAGTTAAATAAGTATCTAAAGCGCTTAAATAATTAAAAAAATTAAAAAAATTCAACTTAAAAGTATATACTTTAAATAAAACATTAAAAATCACGTTTTTAAGTAATTTAAAGCTTACTTAAAGTAATATTATTAAAAAATTATATAAATTATATAAGCACCTTATTATTTAATTAAGGGTATTTATTATTATATATCTATATTAAAAATGTATTATAAGGTTTAATAGCGGGGCTATTATACTAAAATTAAAGCGCGGTGGGGTATTAAGCGCCCCAAGCAACATAGATGAGCGCCCCGAGCAATTGACGTACACAGTGACATGGTCTACGCAGGGGTCCACATATAACTACTGTGCTTGTCCGACCTATCAAAGACCCCGCGATTAGTCACTCACAGTAATGGCACGACGGCCCCGCGGTCGGAGGTGGAAAAGAAAAATGTTGGAGGGGTCGCGGCGAGCGGCAATCGGCTCCTCCGACTTATGACTCTGAGGTGGGTGACTCAACTCAACAACTTCTTCTATTTGCCCGGCCCAACCGCATCCTGCTGCGAATCTGACAATACTTCTTTCCTCTTTTTCCTTGGGATCTACGTCTTCTTCCAGTCCAACGTCTTGACCTGCATTCTTCTGCTTGCCCGTACGGCTCTCGCCACTCCCCGCAGTCGCAGCCTAACACGCAAATCCCAAGTACCATCGCAACCACTCCCAACTTGCGCTTACACTTCTTTTAAGATGCCCATGTACGTTTTTCGGACCTCTTGTTGCATTGTCTTACTGTATACCAGAGATCACACTGACCCTGTGCCAACCGACACCTAGGCTCAAGGAACCCTGGAAGAAATACAAGCCCTTTCCTCCTCTCAACTTACCCGATCGCCAGTGGCCCTCCAAAACGATTGACAAGGCCCCCCGATGGCTGGAAACTAGTCTCAGAGATGGAAACCAGAGCAACCCAGACCCAATGGTACGTATTCCTCGCGTTGTCAGTACTTGGAGAGTGCTCCGCACCTAGCGTCTCGGCCATGTGCTTGGGCGGCCGGCTGATGATCCTGTTACGAATAACAGAACGGGGAGGAGAAATGGCGTTTCTTCAAGATGCTCTGGGATATAGGTTTCAAGGAAATTGAAGTTTCCTTCCCTTCCGCTTCTCAGACCGATTTCGACTTCACGAGACGCCTGGTTGAGACTCCCGGGGCCATTCCAGACGATGTTGCTATCCAGGTGCTGTCGCCCTGTCGACCTGACCTGATCAAGCGCACGGTTGAGGCAGTTACGGGTGCGAAGAACGCCATTATTCATATCTATCTTGCTACGAGCGAGTGCTTTCGGAGAATCGTCTTTAATTACTCTGAAGAGGACACTCTTGAGCTCGCTGTGCGTTGCGCCAAGGTCGTCAGGTCCCTGACGAAAGACGACCCCTCTCAATCAGGCACCAACTGGCAGTTCGAGTTTAGTCCCGAGTGTTTCTCTGATACCTCGCCCGAGTTTGCCGTCAAGGTCTGCAACGCTGTCAAGGAGGCTTGGGGCCCTACAATTGAAACACCTATGATCGTGAATCTGCCAGCTACGGTCGAGAACGCGACCTGCAACGTGTTCGCTGATCAAGTTGAATACTTTTGCAGGAATATATCGGAACGCGAAAAGGTCTGCGTTAGCGTGCATAACCACAACGATAGGGGTACCGCGGCTGCAGCCGCCGAGTTGGCTCAGATGGCCGGTGCTGACCGTGTGGAGGGATGTCTCTTTGGAAACGGCGAGCGTACCGGCAATGTCGACCTGGTTACCTTGGCCCTGAACCTGTATACCCAAGGAGTTCCCTGTAACTTGGACTTCTCGAACCTGAACCAAATTATTGACGTGGTCGAGAACTGTAACAAGATTCCCGTCCATCCTCGCGCTCCATATGCCGGCTCCCTGGTGGTGTGTGCCTTCTCGGGAAGCCACCAA